TAATGAATTAAGAGATTACCGAGTTCATAATTCTAGATTTTTACTTTTCAAGATTTGCCAGCTCAAAAGTGGATCTTTGCCGACAAAAGACTGACAAATAATAAAGAAAGCATCTTCTTTATTAAAGTTACTTTTGTCCAATCAAACGTTCGATGAAGATAATGGAGGATGTTCCTACTTTTTGAAAGTAGTCGACTTTTTCTTTTATCAAGGGCCCCAATGTACTATTTAAGATTCCTTCAATTTTTCTTTTTTAATGTATAAATTCAATGGTTTTCGTTCAATGTAGGCAGAGTTTATACAAGAGATGAACTCCTCTTTACAAGTTCAAAATTCCTTGTAATTTTTCATTTCAATATCAATAAAAGTTCTTTTCGTTTCAAAGATTTTCTTCAACATTTGAATTATTGTTTGAATTCAGTTATATTTCTATCTTTACAAACTACTTTGAGTTTCTGAGCCATTTTGGTGTGTATGTGTGTGTGTGTGTGTGTGTGTGTGTGTACCCATCCTAAAATCAAGCATTTAGTTACGATATTTTTCCATTCCAAACATGACTCCAATTTAACAAATTGCGACGATTGAACAAAAGAGAAAAGTTATAGAGAACTCTTCGGAACAAATAATCTTGATTCCCACTGTTGAAATCTAATTTTGAAAATCACTGAATTATTGAGGTCACAAATTGGAAATTATTGGCATTGTAGTGAATTTTTTGTAAGGCAACAATCACAAATTGAGGTGGTAATAGAAGTAGCAAATTGAGCTTGGTGATTATCCTGAAGTAGGTTTGAACTGTTTCGAAATCACAATTGGTAGCGAATAACATCGTATTGTTGTTAGATAGGTTTTAAATTGATGAAACTGTGTTGAAGCTCCAATCGTGAGTTGCTATAACAGAAATTGAAAAGATCCATTGACCTATAAACTGTGATATTAAAAAGATCCATTGGCCTGTTGTAAGTTACTGTGACGAAAATTGGAAAGATCATTTGTCACCTATGATATTGATCTAATAATAGCATGTGACCAATTCTGTGATATGGGACAAGTTGATATGGATATGTAACCTATGTAAAATGACATGTGACCTGTGATATTAATTCAATGGCATTTGACTAGTTCTTTTGCATTTGTGACCTCTGATATTGATCCAATAGCCTGTGATCGGTGCTCTAAGATCAGTTAGCTGTGCAATATGACCCATGACCTATAATATATGAATTGACCTGTGAACTTGAATACGTGATATGTTATCAGTGCACAAAAACGTGTGACATCTGATACGTGACCAATTAATTTTAATGTGTGACCTATTGATATTGATTTGTGACTTATATAATATGATCAGTGAAGTGTGACCTGTGAACTTAACCTATGACTTGTGAACATAAATCAATTATCTGTGACTCGTGGACATTAATCTATGACCTATTACACAATGACCTGTAACTTGTGAACAAAGTGCGAGTCTTGAATCTTGATTACAAATTTAATCGTAATCTTACATTTTTTTAAGATCGCGTTTTTTTATTAATCACATATTATTTATTGATCGCAAATTAACTCAATTTATTTGTCACAATCACCACCCAAAATTGCACTCCTACTCCAACGCTGGCAACAACCAAACATCGTTCCACGTGACTACCATTGCCAACACCTCCACCACCACCAGCATCACTGCCATCTTCACTACCACATGTACAACTACCGTCATCACCACCCACCAACAACTACCCACAGAAAACCACCCACAAAAAGAAAACCACCAACCTATATGTCGCTGCGTTGTGAGCGCCGCCGTTGTCATTGTGAGCTCCTGACATACACGTCCTTGACACACGTTGCTGTGAGCGCTGCAATTGAGCGATCGCTATTGCAGCGACGCTCCTGTACGCATCGGTGCTCATGACAAGGAGAGAATGAGAGGTAGAGAGAAAGTATAATAGAGAGAGAATGGCGAGACAATCAGAAAATGAATTAGGGTTTGGAGGAAAATGGGGTGGGGTGGGTGTGGGTTGGGTAGGTAGGTAGGTAGGTAGGTAGGTCAATTTAGTTTTATAATATTATTATTTAATATTAAAATTTTGAATTATTATCTAATTTTTGTATTAAAAAAATTTAAATCTTATTTTTTAAATAGAAAGTTAAAAAGAACGTGGGTGAGTATAATTTCCACTATAAACAATATTTAGCCCATGATAAAATATTTGGGTTTACAAATTATGGAAATTACACCGTCACAAGTTTTTAAAGATCGCAATTCAAAAAACAAGTTTATGATTTAATTATCTAAAATCAGGTAATAATTCCACATTTAATATTAATAATAATATTAACCATTATCACTTTCTCTCTCTAATTTAAATTTCCCTAGAACATACCAGAACCCTTCATTTCTCTTGGTAACAATGAAAATCCCAAACATACTGGTTCACAGGTCACGGGTCATTGTGCATAGATCACAGATCAATATCTACGAGTTAAAAATCACTGATTTATGTTCACAGGTTAGGTCATATTGTATAGGTTACAGTTCAATGTCAATGAGTCACATATCAAAATTGACTGTTTACAAAACACGTCTTGTGCGCTGATAATAGGTCACAAACTCAAGTTCACAAGTCAGTTCATATGTTACAGGTCATGGGTACCACTTCAGAGGTCATTGTGCACAGATAACAGATCAAATAGAACTGGTCACGGATCATTGATTTATGTTCACAAGTTATAGTTCACAGGCAACATGTTATATTGTATAGATCATAGATCAATGTCGACGAACCACATACTAAAATTAACTAATCACAAATCATATATCTTTGGGCATTGACAAAAAGTCATAGTTCATATGCTACAGGTCACATGTCATATTGCATAGGTAACAGATTAATGTCCACATGTTACAAATCCTTGGTCACGGGCCATTCGATCAATATCACGGGTAACAATTTACAGGCCACATATCACATGTACGTATGTAATACCCAGAGCAAGAAGATTAAAATATTTGATATGTACTACTCAATACCAACAAGGTACACCATCTTTTCCGGAAGTCCATCATTAGAAACTCTACAATTAAGCGTGCTTGGCTGGAACAATTCTATGATGGATGGCCCCCTGGGAAGTTTTCTTGGGGAGCGTGTGAGTGAGGACAAAGTATGCTGAAAAGACCCATGTTGGTACAGTGAGGACAGTACGTCGTCGATCTAACGGCCGGGACAGCCCTTTAAGTGGGACCCGGGTCGTTACACATCTTCACCATCAAGTATGCTGAGTACTTGCTACATGATGATAAGGATTCGATGCCGATCAAATTCGATGCAGGGAGAGCCAGGCGGGACATTGCCACAAGACTTTATAAACATCGGAGCATATACAAGAGGAGATGAGATTNGACGGTACGTCGTCGATCTAACGGCTGGGACAGTCCCGTTAAGTGGGACCCGGGTCATTACACGTAGGTCACAGGTCATAAATTTAAGAGAATTGGTTACATGTTATTGATTTATTCGACCTCAGTGACCGTTGCCTTAAAACATTTTGATTCACAGTGCCAACAATTTCCAATTTGTGACTTCAATCGTCCAACGAGTTTCAAATAACTAAACTTCGGTGGTGAGAATCAAAATTATTTATTCCAGATCGACTTTCTAATACACAAAGCTAACAACTTCCAATTTGTGACCTCAACGTCCGGCAAATTTCAATTAACTAGATTCCTGTGGTGAGAATCAAAGTTATTTGCTTCGGTGGGTTCTATGTAGATTCTCGTTTTGTTCGATCTTCTGATAGCTTCCAATTTGTGACTTCAATAATCTGATAATTTTCAAATAATCAGATTCTAACGGTAGTAATGGAGAATACTTGCTCCGAAAAGGTCTTTGTGGCATTTATATTTTGCTTGGTCTTCACGATTTTTTGTTTTGAAGAGTCGTGTTTGGAATGATAACTAAAAGCGTTATTTTAGGGGATGTTTGGTGCATATTATTGAGAGAAGAATGTATTATAAATAGTAATGTGATGGAAAATATGTGATTAAAAAATAAGAAAAAAATTTGGATGTGATGGAAAATATTATTTTATTGAAGAATGTATGATTGAAAATGAGTTTTGAAAGAATGGGGATCAAACATGGGCTTAGGGTGTAAATTTATCAGAATTTATTTTATATATAATATTCATTAATTACCACATAAGTTTTGGACTTTTAAACATTTTCTCTTAAAATTGATTTGGGGTATAGTTAAGGCATGACTTATGTATTCTTCCCTTACAAATTTTTCTCACACATTTTCAAGGTCCACCTTGTAAACAAGTTAGTGAATTAAATCAAAAACATGAACCTTCTTGCCCTTCGATGCAATCTATGATACAGTCTTACAGTCTGATCCTCAAAAACCATCCAAAAATATCACAAGTAAGATTCTGAGATTAATTGCATATTTGTTAGAATGACAGGTAAAAAAGACTGCTTTTTACCAAATTAATCATGAAATGCAACTACAATTGAGAAATAAGTGTCCCAAGTTATAAACTGAATATGAGGTTGCAACAGCTAGGACAACTCTTGAGCGACGCCAAAAGGCTAATCTCACGACTATCAGCAATCACCGTGTCAATGGCCTAAATTTGTTCAACAATATTGATATGATAGTTGGAGGCAGATAATCTGAAAAAGCAACCCAGCAGGAGCACTATCTTTTACCCAAAATCAATTTCCTTCAACCCGAATTGCAATATTGTTAGAGCTCCTACTCATGAAGCAAAAATAAGAAATAAAATAACTTGTTTTCCATTTGTAGTTAAACAATGTAATGGAACCTCAGGAATTTCGGGTGATTAGGCAAATAGGATTCAAGTTTGTATATGAATATATCTTCCTACTTCGACAACAAACCAAACCAAACCAAACCAAACCAAGCATTGTTTTTTTAACAAAACTCCCATTTAAACAGAATAAAAATGAATGGAGGTAACTGGATGTTAATTACCCGTGAACAAGTGGTGGATCATGATAATGTAGATTTTTCAAACCCTTTGCAACTCGAATTGCAATTTCCATTCTCTTTTTCCAATCCAGCTTCGATAAACTGCAATCAACATCAACGTCAAAATAGGCTTTCTTAAGCAAAGAACTAGATTAATCCCTTTAATAGGACATATACCTGTACACTATGAATTTCACAGTCTCTTTTTCCCAGCAATGTCCCAAAAGAGGACACGGATTGGAAATAGATAATTTGCTGATACCCTCCAACTCGGACATGTAAGCTTCCCCAGTGACTAAGCGCAAATCAATTCTTTTGATGACAGCATGGATTGAACCATGCCCTGACTTTTTCACTTCCCGAAAGTTCAAAATCCCTCTAAATAAATCGCCAGAATCATTGTGCTTGATTAGGTTTTCTTTGCTGAAATTACCAGTGGCCTTAATAATTTGCTGCTCCGTAAATGAAATTCCCATATCCTGAAAGTTCAGAGCCGATTCATTCAAACGGAAGCTCAAATCAAAATCCGAGGAGCTGGATAGCGAGTCTTCTCGAGCGACCCGCCGGAGCTCCTCTCTCTTCAATGTGGCTCCGACTAGTCTCCCCCAATTGTCGTACGCTCTTGTCATCTCCTTCCGAGGCTATTAGCTTCCTCCGAGAAACTCTACTATAATATAGTACTCTGAAATAAATATCGTATTCAAGACGTCGGCTTGAACCAGTCAACGTGGAAATTACCATAGAGGCTTCTTGCTTAGCCGATTAAATTGACAGCCTTTTTTATTCAGTTGCATGTACAATCATGCAACATCTACTTCTTTGTTTTACAATATTTTTTTACCAAATATGCTATGGGACAGGGTGATTGACATATTCAAAAATAAGTGTGCCACATATATTATCGGCGCACGATTGAACAGTTTGAAAAAAAAAAAACACTCAATCAACACTTATCACATCACCATGTTTTCTCGCATTCTGTTTTTAACCCTGGAGAAGGATAATAATTCTTTTTTTACATTATGTCACGTGTTGACAAATGGACAGATTTTAAAAAAAAAAATTCCGTCCAACACTTTTTAAATTTTCAGACAATGCATACCAAAATTTAACCCATAGAATGTACACTTAGCATAATTGTTTTATATATACTCATAAATTTCATATCTTTTTTATAAAAATAAGAGTGATACTATTCAGCAACATTGGTTTCAAACACTAATCTAAGTAGTAACTACACGACATTGAATTACAAATTCACCTAAAAATAATATCATAGAATTCATTTAATTCAACCTACCGATGTGGCCAACTAGACTCGTGTTCTAACATTATAGGTATCAAGTATCAGTTTAAGTAGCAACTGCATAAAATTGAATGATATATTCACTTAAATAAAATGTCAAATAATTTATTTAAATGAATTTATCAAGTGTGATCGACTAAACTAAACTGATATTAGGTAGCATTATTCTAAAAGAGTAATAATATTTATCATTATCGGTGTTAAACACCAATCTAAATGATAACTGCATGACATTAAATAATAAATTTACTTAAATATAATATCACATAATTTATTTAATTGAATTTATAAAAAATGATCAACTAAATTGGTGTTAGATAACATTATTTAAAAAATAAACCATTTAGAAAGTTTTAATTTCAGTAAAAAGAACATTTAAGTATTTGTCCCTCCATCATAGGCATGCTTGTAGATGATCTCAGAACTTTTTAAATGTTCCACAAGTGACATGAGATTTAATTCTTTAATTGATAGAGGTGTGGTCGTAACTACAATTTATTTATTAAAAAAATTCGTACAATTTATGGCCAACCAATATGTACACAGGGGCGGAGCCAACCCTTTAAATTAGGGGGGTCCTGGAGTTGAAGGGGCGGGGGCTCACGGGCTGCCCCCGAAAATTTTTTTTTGAAACATTATCCGTTAAAATGAGGAAAGTTGGTACTTTGTGATGGAGAAATGAAATAAATGAACATAAATTAATGTACGAAGACTTCACAAAAAAATCAAGAAACANGGGGGGGTCCTGCCCCCCCCCCCCCAGGACCCCCCTCCCCTCCGCCCCTGTTAATGTACATGATTAAACAAGTAAAATAGGGAATGGCCAGACATTGAATAAATACGATCTAAGTATAAAATATCATAAAACAAAAAATACGAATATGGTCAAGCCTTCCTTTGAGGTAAGTCAAGTTGGTAAATTATTTCCATAGTTTAGAGAGAACTGCAATTAGTATCCCTTGCTTTCGGGGTGGACCGTTTAACTGAAAATAATTTAGTTGGTAAATTATATGAGTGGATAATATATTTTTTCTCAAGTGACAATTTGGTAACTTACTTTAATTTTGGTCAACTACATAACCATATTTTAATTTGATTTTAATTGGTTAACTCCGTCCATTTCATTCACTTCGACGGATGAAAATTTATGACCCGACAGACGATGATGACCATCGTTTATTTCATGAAGATTCGCTTGTTCCACATAAGTAACTAAAGGCCAAGTGTATGACCATCATTCATGATTGTTGTGTTATCAATTTTGGATTATACTATTTGTACACCAGGGATCGACCCCCTCACAAAAGAGTGGGCCCACGATTTTTTTATTGGTCGTGGGCCCCATCTCTTGTGAGGGGTCGGTACACGGTGTCAAAAACGGTGTACAAATAACATTTTCCATCAATTTCCGTTAGATGTCTCATTAGAGGGAGTGTCATTTCAAGAGCATATCTTTATTCTGTATACTTTCTATGAGATTATGTATACTAGTGGTACCAGTTTTGAATCATGTCAACATTATTAATTTTCTTTAAATTAAAATGAATCGACATGTTGTTATTGAGTACAATGAAGTCACGCGTTTAAAGAAGAAATTAGGGTAATTCATAATTGGCGCAAAATGTCCCTACCTTTGCATGGTTTTGTGCAAAAAGTCCCTACCTTTCGTTTTTTAGCGCAAAACGTCCATATCTTTCCCATTATTTGCACTTTTTAAAAAGTTTGGGCTATAGTTACCATTCATTCTTTATTTTTCTTTTCTTTTGTGTTTGTTTTATTTTAATAGAAGGGTAAAATTGCCAAAAAGAGACGAAAATGACGTTTTGCACCAAAAATGTGAAAGGTATGGACGTTCTGCGCTAAAAAACGAAAGGTATGGATGTTTTGCTTAAAATCATGCAAAGGTAGGGACGTTTTGCGCCAATTACCCAAGAAATTATTATTGGTTTTATTTAAGGAAATCTGATCGAAAAACATGCGTGTGACATAGGTGAAATACAACTTACACTTGGTTGAGACGAGCAAAGATTAGATATGATTTGATTGGTGAAGTTGCATCATGGGGGAACAATACCGACTGCATCTTTTTCGGTATACATTTGATTAGTCAGTTGTCTTCACTTATTATGTCCTTTAATCACATTTAAATAACTGTATGAATTAAATACTATAGTTAATTGAAAATCGCAATTGAATTTAAAAGGTAAAAAAAAAAAATTCTCAACGGGAATGTTTGAGCAATAGAGCATTGTTGACTTAACCAAGCAAGGAAATTACGAAATTCAGGCTAGTTCTTAGCCCCTGCTTGACTGTCATTATTTGAAGGGAATAGAGTTTTAAATAGAGATTTTTAGGAGAATAGGTTATTAAAAAGTAGGGAGATATTTTGGATTTGTGTAAAATATTTTTGATCATACTACATGTACCAAATTTTTTTACCGAATCTTTTATCTATTATTCACAATGGGGGTGGAGACCATATTGTCGAAATTTTAAAATACACGTGGGCCCCGCGCATTATGTGAGAGAGGATTATCCATTATGTACAAATGGATTAACCCAAATATTTTATTGTATAAATGTATGGTTGAAAATGAGTATGTATAAAAAAGACTTTAAGAATAATGGTTACCAAACAGGAGTTATTATTATGCATTTTCTTGAGTATTGAAAATAATGAAACTTAAATTGTGTAAACTTCATAATATTCAATTACATACAATGAATCCACTATTTTCTTGAACATCAAGAGATGACGATCACTTGAAAAAACTTAAGAATTTTAACAATCTTTTTATTTTTATATTTTTAGCGAGATCTCAAATATGATGTGAACTCTTGAATCTTGAATGCTTCTCCGTAAACTTTTGCATTTAAATTTGCATTATGCATTATAATTTGATTTATTTCATTTTCTTCTATTCAAGAATAACAATGAAATGACTATCGATAATTTTATTTATTTCCTTTAGTATTTAGATACTTGCTATGTCCTAAAAGATTGTGAATCGAAAAGAAGGCAACGAATAACTTCATAGGGGATTGATTATGGGCCTGTTTGGTACAGATTCTCATTTTCTACAGTAAATCAATTCTCATTTTCAACCACACATTCTTCAATAAAATAATATTTTCCATCACATCAATACTTTTTTCTTCTTTTTCAACCACAGATTTCCCATCATATCACTATTCAAAAATCAATTCTTCCCCCAAAAATCCCTACCAAACACACTCTATATTTTAAAATCGGCTCCAAAAAAGAAAAAAATAAGCAAGGAATAGTTTCATCATTGGTCCCAAACATTTATTTTCCAGTTCACTTTTTTTTTTTTTTTTTATTTTAAAAAAGNTATGGTTAGGTTTAGAAATAGAAGGAGTATAAAGGTTTTGCACGCTCGAATAAGACTCAGTAACTTTTTTATCAAACTTTAGGGCAGCGCAGTAACCAAGATACCAGGGAATATAGTATCGCCCAGAGGTGGAAGGTTTACTAAAGCCCCTACGTCTCTCAGAATAATAGATATCGGGCCAAGAGGAAAAACAAAAGTATTATACTCTGAGGACCAAAAACTCAGTGCGATTGGAAAAAGCACTGATCATAGATTGGGGGATGGAGGGTAATCTCCAACAAGTCAGAAATCCGTGCACGATCAAAAAGTGATTTCGTGGGACCATGTTTCAGCAGACATGCATGTCAAAAACGAAAAGAAGAATCAGCTTTAGGCCAAGTACGAATACCTCGCTCCTGGATAGGCTTCAACGGTAACGAATTCTGAAAAGGGAGATTTTCCACGCAAGGAAACACTTGACCCACCGCCGCTTTCTCTATGGATGCAGCATCATTGAACATTGAACCAAGATAAAACTCATTCAGGTCTGGATTAGTCGGTGCAAGATAAGAAGGGTTTACATACGGCCTGGCGAGGAGGTTTTGGAAATCCTCGAAACTAAAGGGATTCTCCGAACGGGTTTGAGAGGTCGTCATTGAATGCAGAATATGAGTTTATTTGGATTTGCTTGAGAAATGATGAGGAGAAGCAAAACGGCGAACAGTAAAATAGTGGGAAAAAGACGCAAAGTATGAAGACGTGGTTTAGTGGTGCAATGAAGTGGCGCGATTCTTGGGTTTATGAGAGTTGAAACGTCACGCCGTTCCAGACAAAAGGAAGTAATGATTGGAATTCTTGAAAATTTCAAATATTGTTAGAGAAACACGAAAGTGAATATGGCAAAATTTAATAATCGGCATTAAATCTGCCATATTGGGGGGTAATTGTTGACACACAAAAAGTGCAGTCCAATTAAAAGGCCCAAAGAGCGAAGCCCAATTGAAGCCCCAGTGCCCAAAGAGTAGAGCCCAATTGAAGGTCCAGTGCGAAAGCCTGAATAAAAGTGTGGACCAATGACATAGAAGCCCACAAGCAAAGTAACGCTATCACCCAAACCTGCAGAACGCCCAGAGCCTGAACGAATAGGAGACCCTGCAGTCGCCCAGAGATATGAATCCGTCATCGCCCAAGCGATTAAGTTCATCATCCAAGGCAGCGGTTTCGAGCGGTTTAAATACATTAATGTTGTATCCACGATCTAAGAACCTCAAGAATATGGAGTCGTGTGATGACAAGTTATAAATGGCAGTTTTTGACACATTGGCCATGATGAAGAAAATGGGTGGTTTCAAGCAGTTGAAAGCCGTCCAAGAAGTATAAAAGAAAAGAGAAGACAATGAGTTAAGTCCGACAAAATTCACTCTCAAACAGAGAATATGTAATTTCCTTTTCTTAGATTTAGCTTTAATTACTTCAATTCCCTTGTACTTGTGTGCATGCGACCCTTGAAGGCATCTTGTTCACGTCCAAGCTGTAATCTTCATATTCAATAAACACCCATTTTTTAGACTTTGTTTCAAGAGGTTTGTCCCTTACACAATCGTCTGATCCCCTTTTTAATTGTTAGCGAGCGAAACCGCGCGAAACAATTAGATATGATTTGATTGGTGAAGTTACATCATGGGGGAACAATACCGACTGCATCTTTTTGGGTATACATTTGATTAGTCAGTTGTCTTCACTTATTATGTCCTTTAATCACATTTAAATAATTGTATGAATTAAATACTAAAGTTAGTTGAAAATCGTAATTGAATTTAAAAAGTTTACAAAAAAATCTCGATGGGAATGTTTGAGCAATAGAGCATTGTTGACCTAACCAAACAAGGAAATTACGAAATTCAGGCCGATTCAAGCTAGTTCTTAGCCCTTGCTTGACAAACATTATCTGAGGAAAATAAAGTTTTAAATAGTTGTTTTCAGGAGAATATGTTATTAAAAAGTAGGGAGACGTTTTGGATTTATGTGTAAAATATTTTATTATGTATTCTTATGGTTGAAATGAGTATGTATAAAAAAGAGTTTAAGAATAATGGTTGCCAAACAAGAGTTTATTATTATGCAATTTCTTGAGTACTGAAAATAATGAAACAAAATTGTGTAAACTTCATAATATTCAATTACATACAATGAATTCCCTATTTTCTTGAACATCAAGAGATGACGATCATTTAAAAAAAAAACTCAAGAATTTTAACAATCTTTTTATTTTTATATTTGTAGTGGGATCTCAAATGTGATGTGAACTCTTGAATCTTGAACGCTTCTCCGTATACTTTTGCATTTAAATTTGTATAATGCTTTATAACTTGATTTATTTCATTTTCTTGTATTCAAGAATAACAATGAAATGACTATCGATAATTTTATTTATTTCCTTTTGTATTTAGATACTTGCTCTGTCCTAGAAGATTGTGAATCGTAAAGAAGGCAATGATAACTTCGTAGGGGATTATATTTTAAAATCGGCTCCAAAAAGGAAAAAAATAAGAAAGGAATAATTTCATCGTTGGTCCCAAACATTTAAAATAAAGCAAGTTGAACTTCAAAATTGTATTATGCACAACCAGTCCTAAATGATGGAAGTTGTTGAAATTCATTAAATGATCACGTGATCCTCATGAAAATATGTTTCACTTAAAAGTTTCTAGTTGAAACTAGCCTTATTGGAAAGCAAAAGCTCATTTTATAATGTTTCACTTAAAAGTTTCTAGTTGAATCTAGCCTTATTGGAAAGCTAAAGCTCATTTTATATAATTGAACATGCAACAATCATGTGATTCTTTGATATTTTTCATTGTTTGGCAATTGATCGTGAAATTATAATTAAAGGTTGGGAACTAATTTGTTCCATTTTTAAAGTTTGAGGCAAAGTTGCTACTAAAACAGCACACTAATGCCTAATGGTACAATTTTTCCCATAAGAAATTAATTCATTATTTGGTGTAGATTAATATCAGATTTTTAATAAATTTTAATAAAAGTTAATGAAATATGTAGTTGTGTACGGTTATTGATCCAATGAAATGTGTAAATAAAATTAATTATTAACTTTAACTTAAGATTAAAATTTCTATACCAAACATGGACTAAATAATTGTCAAGTGAAGTTTGAAGTTTAAACTTTTATAAAAATGTAAACATATAATTATTTTCATTTTTTCTACTTGCTGCAAATACATTTATAAAACACCAAAGTACTTGAAAGTTTTATAGAGTTTTAATTTCTCGCTGGAGGTTTTGACTCGAAGTTATAATCATACTAACTTGATATATTACGATCGATACTTTACTGCTATCCTAACATCTTTCTTTTCACACTTTTGTTCAATTTTCAATGGATGGCATGCTAATACTTAGAGCTTGTTTGGGAGAGATTTTTGGAGGAAGAATTGATTTTAAATAGTGATATGATGGGAAATGTGTGGTTGAAAAAGAAGAAAAAATTATTGATGTGATGGAAAATATTATTTTATTGAAGAATGTGTGGTTGAAAATGAGAATTGATTTACTGTAGAAACATCTAATCCCTCTCAAACAGGACCTTAATAACTATGTAACGGATGGAGGGTGCCCAAACCCCCCCCACCCCCCCCCCCCCCACCCCCCCAATTGATTTTTTTTTTTTTTTCTTAGTTAGAAAAAAATTATGTTAAAAAAAAAAATCATGTGTAATTTTTATTTTTTTTACGTATTAACCCCTCCCCTCCCCTTTTTTTCTTACGTATTAGCCCACCCTGTAATCCGATCATGGATCCATCCATGTATGTAACTTCTATCTTATTCATGAAAATGATTTTTGGAAGACAAAGATGCTCGAGATACTATTAATGATTATCGTCCGAGTCTTATCCTATTTTAATTTCTTTCTAGAAAAGAAGAAAAATAGATAAACTTAAATTATGTATAGGTTTCTAACCTGTTATTCATATTAGAATAATGTTATATGACACAACTAGTGCTAAACAATCGAAGTGACAAGTTGAAATTGAGTGAAATTAAATATTTGAATATTTTAAATTCAAAAAATCAAATTAAATTTATTTTATATATTAACTAGGAATCGCCGGGCCCGAGAATTTAAATCAGACCCGAACTGGGTTTTTGAATTATTAGCTCGTGAATCGACCCATTCGGGTTATTACCGGGTTCACATGCAACTTATAAAGGGCCGATCCTCCCAGTTTGACACAACTATTTTCTAAAGAAAATAATTGCTTTTTCCTTGATAAGGTGGTATAATATTGTCCCTTCGAAATTCTTGAAGACTTCCAAATAAATCAATTCTTAACTGTGTAATATCAGTATTTTTAATATCTTTTTGTTCTTTAACATTGTTAATAAATAGAATAATACAGTGTAGTATCACGTGTTAAACATAGTTTATGTGGCACATAAATGTGTCAGTGATTTTTTTATAAAAGCTCTTTGCGGCCATTATTTTGAGAAAACGGAGTTTTGAATAATAATCTTTTAAAAAATATGTAGTTAAAAAGTAGAGAAATTTTTTGAATGTGCAAAATATTTTATTATGTAAATGCGTAATAAAAAGTGAGTATGAGAATTAAAGAGTTTTAAAATGATGATCGTAAAACAAGGTGTGTTAAAAAGTTGATAAAAATATGGATTCTATAAATTATATGGTTGAAAATTAGTTTGAAGAAATACTAATTTCAAAAATGAGGTCTAAATAAGGGTTAAATGACATGTTCAATTAAATTTGAAGGACGTAAAACCCATTTAACACTTTCTGTTTGAGCCTTATTATCTAAATATTCAATTTTTTTCTCATTTTATTTTCAATCACGCGATCTCTCAATAAAATGTTTTCACGTAAATTCACAATTTTTTCATACTTTCTAACCACATTTTCCAAATATTCACTATTAAAAAACTTATTTTCAACAAAAATGGAGCTCAAACATAGACTAATGGTTTTATATAGCATATGAGCATTATTGTATTTAAACTTCGTTTGGGCGCCATTTCTTCTAAAAATGCGGTGGAAAATGGAAAACAAACAGGCACGAGGCCAAGCACTCACCAGAATCCTTATTTGTTGGATCCATCGAGACTGACAAGACTTGAATCCGCAGCTTCCGCCATGACAGGGCGGTGCTGCGACCAATTGAACTACAATCCAAGGGGAATAAGGGTTCAAGCCCACAAACCGACATCTAATTCAGCTTTACATGAGTTTACTATGCCTAATCATCAAATAAACAAGCAAAAGGAATAATTCTTTTTATCTAGACCCATAGTGATCACGAATGCATACGATAATTAAGTGACATTAATTGATATGTTATCCTAAATTTAGAGATGGTCAAATCGAGAAATGCCACTTAATTGTCATACTCATGATCGGATAAATAGCATTATTCAGGTGCAAAACCAGCAAAAACAGATCAATCTCAAATTCAATTCTAAGAAATAAATCAATTTAAATCAAGAAAAAAAAATGTAGCCATGCCTGTTCTTTTCTTCCAAACTCCAGAAGAAGTAGAGTCAATATCATAATTTACATTTCACAATAGAACCAATTAAAAAGATCAATTACACAATAAAAAATTGAAGCTTGCTTCAAACCAAAAACAAGCTTTCAAAAAATCACCACCAGAACCCCCACCAGCTAAATCCTAGGAATGTGCAACTTCTAATAACAAAAATGGCTAGCAACGGCAGAGCTCCAAAATGGACAATGTACATGGAACCAACAAGCAAGAAAATCCAAATTTAGAGCCAGCTTTGTTATTGACAAAGAATTGAGAAAAATCACCTTTCGTTTACCCCTCAAGAGCTCTCTCTACGTCCCGTCATCCATAGGGTCGGGGAAAATCTCCTTGGAATACCGTCTAGTTGATGACGAATGACCATTCCCATCACCGTTATGACCACTTCCCTGGGAACCTGTAGTTCCCGACTGTTTAAAACTACTTGTTCCTTCCACTTTGTTAGAAGGGGCAGCTGGCACAGCCGCCACATCGGAAGAGCTGTGCCGCCAGCTGCCAAATAAAGCGGCATTCCACGATCCTCGGGAAGATGTTGTTCTAAGCCGTGCAGAACCTGAGTTTTCTTCCCGCACCACCTTCAAAGGATTTTCCAAAGCTTTAAGAATATATCTCATTAGAGGCCGCCTCGTAGGCTTGGGATTAAGGCAAGACCTAGCAACAATTGCCATTGCCCACACTTCCTCAAGAAGATCCTCATCTATAATTAATGACGGGTCGACAATGTTTGTGACGAGTTCCTTGTCGTATATACTGATGTATGGAAGGGATGCTTCCAACCACTCCTTTGTGGTGGCATCAGTTGAGGAACTAATACCGAGCTTGCCTGTAACAAGCTCAAGTAATACCTTTCCGAAGCAATAGACATCATAAGCACATGTTGCATTAGGCACACCTGGGCATTTTAAAATATAGGGGAAAAAAATTAGAAATCAATATAGAAGCTGCAATTAGTGATCCAAGTCAAATTTAAACAACTTTCCACTTTAAGCTCTATGATCTTTTGCCAATCGAGAAAATCATAATAAATAAACAACACTATGAAGCATACTTTATTTCATTCTTATAATTCCCCGAAGAACCTTTGATGTAAAATGGCCAGAATTGTGCGTGCTTATACTTATTTTTCCATTCCAGAATTAAGTCATTTCGTCCTAATATAATATATTGTCATTTGACCTAGAATAATATATGTTTGAAACATTATGATTTATAATAACTATATAATACAGTGACATTTAAGTTGAATCTTTTAGAAAGAACAGTTCATTTGGTTTGAACAATTCAATCCAAAGTTTGACAAACATTAGCAACTCCATATAGAAGGTGCATGACTAGAACTATTCTATGTGATCGCTCTTAACATGAAAGACTTTGATTTCAAGTCTAAGCCAAAATGATATATTGGAACATTAACGAAGGGCTAGATCAAAGTGGTCCAACACTCCTGCACAATAAACTTTACACTTAGTGCCTTCATTTGTCACAAACTGCAACCAGTCAAAGCATTCTTTTTCGTAATATTAAGTGAATTTCCGGAAGAGTACTGGTGAATGATGCTCAAAGCTTACAGATATAGCATGTTTGAATAAGCTGAAAAAAAAGGTTTGGATAACTTACTTTTTTCTTACTTATGAGTTAAAAAAAGATACTTAGGCCCT